AAAAAAAAAAAAAAGTGCAAAAAATTAGTGGGGTGTGGTGGCAGGTGCCTGTGATCCCAGCTACTGGGGAGGCTGAGACAGGAGAATGGCTTGAACCCAGGAGCGGAGGTTGCAGTGAGCCGAGATTGCGCCATTGCACTCCAGCCTGGGCAACAGAGACTCCATCTCAAAACAAACAAAAATACAAAAAATGGTCTAGTGGGGTGACTCATGCCTGTAATCCCAGCACTTTGGGAGGCTGAGGTGGGCGGATCACCTGAGGTCAGGAGTTGGAGACCAGCCTGGTCAACACGGTCAAACCCTACTAAAAATACAAAAATTAGCCAGGTGTGGTGGCTCATGCCTGGAGTCCTAGCTACTCGGGAGGCTGAGGCATGAGAATCTCGTTTGATCCTGGGAGGCAGAGGTTGCAGTGAGCAGAGATCAGGCCACTGCACTCTAGCCTGGGTGACAGAACAAAACTCTGTCTAAAAAAATAAAAATAAATTAATCTTGTATGGTGGTGCACACCTATAGTCCCAGCTCTTTGGGAGGCTAAGGCAAGAAGATCAATCAGGCCTGGGAGGTGGAGGCTGCAGTGAGATGTGATAAGGCCACTGCAGTCCAACCTGGGCAACAGAGCGAGACTTTGTCTCAAAAAAAAAAATTTTTTTTTTTTTAATTAAAAAATATGGCTGGGTGCAGTGGCTCACACCTATAATCTCAGTACTCTGGGAGGCCAAGGCAGACAGATCACCTGAGGTTGAGAGTTCAAGACCAGCCTGACCAACATGGAGAAACCCCTCTACCAAAAAACAAAATTAGCCGGGTTTGGTGGCACATGCCTGTAATGCCAGCTACTCGGGAGGCTGAGGCAGGAGAATCGCTTGAATCCAGGAGTCAGAGGTTGCAGTGAGCCAAGATCGAGCCATTGTACTCCAGCCTGGGCAACAAGAGCGAAATCTCATCTCAAAAAGAAAAAAAAAATGGCCAGGCACAGTGGCTCACACCTGTAATCCCTGCACTTTGGGAGGCCAAGGTGGGTGGATCAACCGAGGTGTGGAGTTTGAGACCAGCCTGTCCAACATAGTAAAACCCCATCTCTACTAAAAATACAATAAGTAGCTGGGCATAATGGCTCACACCTGTAGTTCCAGCTGCTTGGGAAGCTGAGGCAGAAGAATTACTTAAACCAGGAGGCACAGGCTGCAGTGAGTGGGCTCCAGCCTGGGCAACAGAGTGAGACCCTGTTTCCAAAAAAAAAAAAAAAAAATTAAAAATATGTGAATTGCCAATTTCAAAGAAACCTAGAAAGATTTTTAAAATCATTCATGAATGTTGTCTGTGCCTTGCTCAGAGTAGATGCTCGAAAATGGTGATGAGACTCTAGTTTGGTCTTATGCCAAGGAAGTCCATAAAACTCACAAGTCATTTTCATGATGGACAGAAAAACGTGTGCTTTCTCTGTCTACTGACTCAACTGCACAGGCCATGGGACTGTAGCAGAACCATCTTTTCAGCTGGACATCGGGAGGCCCAAATTCTAGCACGGGACCCAGGGCCAGTTGCTCTCTGGTCCCGTGCTCTCAGTCTCCTCACCCATAAAATGGGAAGGAGAGAACCCCCAAATTATTGCTTCTAGCTCCTGAACTCAGTTGTTCAGAACAAGGACTCACTGCTGATTTTTCAACAGCACAGGCAATTGCTGTTCCTGGGAATATTGGACAGTACCCTCTGTTCTACTGGGCAAGTGGGACTTCGCAGGCCTCTCTGTTTCTTTCTTTCCTTAGAGAGCAACAGACTTGGCCCCATCCCACTTCCCTCACACCCCTCTCTCTCCTCCCTCAGGACTGGGCACCTCGCTGCCCCCGCTGCTGCCCACTCTGCGACTGTGCCTGTACATGCCAGCTTCCTGACTGCCAGAGCCTCAACTGTCTCTGCTTCGAGATCAAGCTCCGATGAGGACCCAGTGTCCTGCCCTCTGGGGAGCGGCCAGCCCCCAGGGCCCATGTGCCGTCCTTCTTGAGGGGCCTCAGGACACCTTTCTCCAGGCCACTGGAACCACAAATGGCCTGCCCAGCACCCAGTCCTGGGAACTGGAAGTGGCTATGCAGGGCCTGGCTCCCTGCAGGGAAGGACTCTTGGCCGGCTGGACAGCAGCTCCTCTGGAGGGCCAGAAGAGGGGCTAGTGCTCCAGCAGGTGCCCTGGCTCCCCTTCCCCTACCCAAGTGAACGATTCTATTTTAATGCGGGCAGGGGGGTGGCGCTGCTCACCACACAAGTGTTATAGGAGGAGCCTGGGCCTTAAGTACCGGGTACTCAGGGTGCCCCAACCACACTCCGTGCACAGACTGTTATTTTAGGAGGCGAGTATAGTGCCAGTATCTGCTCTCCTTAAAACAAAACAAAACAAAACAAAAAAACAAGGCTCCGGAGAATCACTACAGTCACCATCACTGCAGGGAGTCAGGGGAGGAGGAAGATTAGAGGAGCCAGGGAGGGCGGCAGGGAGGCCACGTGATCCGAGTCCCCTCACCCCTTTCCCTCCGACAGATCCTGGCCAGAGATTTATTTCTCTTGACAACCAAGGGTCTCTGTCTGGATTTCCAAGGAAGACATTTCCTTTGAAGCACCGGTGAGTGGGCAGGGGCTCCCTCGCCGTCAATAGGGCAGACCCAAGCCTTCCTCCCCCTTCCCCCAGACCGGGCCCCACGCTGGTGTGAATGTCAGGGGCTTCAGGTTTCCCTAAATATAGGTTCCTGCCAGAGGATCCATGGCGGGAAAAGGGCAGAGGTCATCGGAGAAGGTCGGGGACACTGGTGCGGGGCGGGCAGGAGCCGCCTTATAACCCAGCCCGGGCACCCCTGGCTCACTCGCTGCTGACCAGGCTCTGCCGGCTTCTTCAGCCTCGCCGCAGGTGGGCCCCTCGCAGGACCGGGCCGGGGTGGGGGTGGGGTTAGGCCGACAGGGTCCTGATGGGTCCAGGTGAGGAGTGGAGACTTGGACGGTAGGAGTTGGGGGCTCAGAAAGCATCTGACGCAAATCAGCTCGGGGACGGATTTTATTCTGGAGAAGGAACTCAGGTCCAAGGAAGACGTTTGGCAGGGACTGTGGCCCCGCATGCCCGAGGCCGAGCAGCGGCCGGTGCATGGCAGCGCAGTCTGGTTTTCGGTGGCGCAGCGTGCCCGCCTGGCTACGACCGCCCGGGTGGAGAGCGCGCGCGCATGCGCGACCCAGCCCGCCCCGCCTGCTGGGAGCCAGCACAGGGGAGGCCTAGCCTCCGCGCCGCGCCAGCACCGCCGTCCTTCCGCACTTCCGCGTATTCTCTCGCCGCCCTTTCCTCCGCCTGTCTTACCCCTGGGCTACTGACGGTTGGCGGGGAATCGGCTCCGCGCCATGCACGGCCCAGGCCGCGGGCGAGGCAGGCCGACGCGCGACTGCGCTGTGCGGCCCAGGTGGTGACACGCCGCAGCCGCGCAGGCCGGAAGCTGGGGCTGCCCCGGGCCGCGGGCTGGGCCTGGAAGGCCAAGCCCAGCCTCCTTCGTTTCCGACTCTTCCATCCTCATCCCCCACCTTCCCGTCCCCCACTCCTCTGGTGCTAATATTCTGGCTGAGTCACGGCGCCCAAGAGCGCGCCAAGCGGGGGGAAAAGGAGCGGAGGGGAGGGCCCTTGCGACCCGCGGGATGTGGCCCAAGTCACGTCCGAGGGGGGCGGGGGAGGAATCGTTCTCACCGCCTGTCCTCTCCCTAGCGCGGCCTCTGCGCTGCGCCTCTCGGGGGCGGCCCGTCGCCCACTCCCTCGCTTGCAATTGGACGCCGCCCGCTCCCCGCAAAGGAAAAAGCTCGGCGGAGGGCTGAGTGGTGCCTTTAAAAGGCCGAGCGCCGCCTTCCTCCTGCCCACCCCTTGCGCCGCCCCCTCCGAGGCTGAATCGGCTGCGTTCCTCTCGGAACGCGCCGCAGAAGGGGTCCTGGTGACGAGTGCCGCGTTCGCTCCTTGAGTCCACTCGCCAGCCCGCCGTCCTCCGCCGCCAGATCCCGCACACTCGCCCCTCTCCTGTACCAGGAACTTGCTACCACCAGCACCATGCCCTACCAATATCCAGCGCTAACCCTGGAGCAGAAGAAGGAGCTGTCTGACATCGCTCACCGCATCGTGGCCCCGGGCAAGGGCATCCTGGCTGCAGATGAGTCCACTGGTGCGGGCAGGAGACAGAACGAGTGGAGGGTGCAGGGTTGGGAGTGGCAGGCTGATCCCCTAATTCCCATGTGACACGTCCTCCCAGGGAGCATTGCCAAGCGGCTGCAGTCCATTGGCACTGAGAACACCGAGGAGAACCGGCGCTTCTACCGTCAGCTGCTGCTGACAGCTGATGACCGGGTGAACCCCTGCATCGGGGGCGTCATCCTCTTCCACGAGACACTCTACCAGAAGGCGGATGATGGGCGTCCCTTCCCCCAAGTTATCAAATCCAAGGGCGGTGTTGTGGGCATCAAGGT